GGCCCTGCGGCGGTCCACCCATCACCTCTTCCTGCGCCATCCGGCACAGCCTGCTGATTCAGAAGCTCCAGCACGGCCGTTCCACCTGCCCGCCAGCCCCATGCTGCGCCCTAGTTGACTGACGAAACACAGGGCCCCATATCCCTGTTCCACCCTTGGCGTCTGACGCACCACCACCACCACCACCGCTGCAAAGGGCGACCGTGAGAGCGACCAGCGGATGACGATCACCCCCGTGGGCCCGGCCACCAAGGAGGGCTTCACCATGGCCGTCAAGATGCCCCCCGGCAGCATGGGCGACTACACATTCGAGTACCGCGCCCCGTCCCTGGTCAGGTGGGCTGCGTGAGTCGAGCGGCGTCGTTGCATGCAGTATGGAGAGAGGTATTGCGGCAAGGAGTGTGTCGTAGGTTGTAAGGGCAGGCCCACAAAGTGCTTTTGAAGGATGGGCTTGCATGCAGAGCTGCCACCGAAATACACGTGGGCGTGCGCACGCACTTGCATATGCGCATACTCATGCACACATGCTCTGCACGTGAACACACACACACGCACACACGCACTCATGCACACACACACGCACACACACACACACACATTGCTGCAATTGTCTTGAGGCAAGCTCAAAACCATCAAACATTTTCAAGCAATCTTCAACCGCTGCCGCCCCCCCCCCCCAAAACCGGGGCGTGACCAGGTACCACTTCCCTGGCGTGACCATGCTGCTCTACGCCACGCCCACTGGCAAGGGCACCTCGCGCGTCATCATGAGCTTCGTTGGGCCCAAGGGTGAGCGGACCGATGCAGTGTGTGGACCGATATAATGACCGGGGTCTTGTATGAGATGCGCGGATCAGGCATGTGACGCGCACCACACAGGGATGGTCCCGCCTCAACTGGTGCCACTTGCGCCGCCGAAACGCTGTTTCACCCCGTTCCCTGGGGTCAGGCAGGCTTGGCCCCCTTTTCCCCACAACCTGCAAACCCACCGCCCCTTGGCTCGGCCTGCCCCCAGGCAGCAAGCAGTCGCGGCCGCCGACGCCGCAGCTGCCGCCGCTCCTCAACTGGTTCATAGTGAGCGCCAATCAGGGCCGCGTCCAAACGCCTCCTGCCACAAGTGCTGCCACGGGCCTTGCCATTGCACCATCGGCACCAGATGGAGGGCGGGGGCGGCTTGCTCCTTGGCTATGCCCCCTACCCACACGGCTGCCAGAGCCCAATCACGTGCTGCCACCCCAGCCTGGTGCATTTGCTGGTTTTTGTGTCTCCTCATTGCCACGTCTGGTTAATAAGTGCATCGAGGCTGCATGGGCTGGTTTCTGTCGAGTGGCAGGCCTCTCCCAGCCCTCTCCCCCCAGACCCCCGGCCCCCCGGTCCCCATGCCTCTTCCCTCTGTGCCTTCCACTTCACCTCTTCCCTCGCGCTCGTCAGATACACACCCGTCCTCTCTCGCCTGCAAATCCCTTCTGTCCAAACCCACATACCCTGCACTTCTCAATCCCCCCTCGCCTCCAGGACCACATTGTTGACCCCATCCCAGCACTCTCGGTGAGAGAGCTGTGTGGCGGGATGCATGTATGGGGGGTGAAATGTAGGGTCGGGGAGCGTAGGGCTTCGGAAGGGGAGGGATGCACTGCCCATGGCTGATCAAGGGCTGCAGCAGTGCAGTCTGGGGCAATTGACGGGTGCTGCGAGGCAAGGGGAGGCGGCACAGCGCGTAGACAGCAGCATCTTGGTTGTGTCGTGTGCAGTGCACTGGCGCTCATCTGCTCGACGGGGCATGTCGTGTCCAGTGGCGTGAGTGTGGGGGCTGCCGACCGTCCTAAGCCATCTTATGCGCCCTCACCACCCCCCCTCCCCTGGGGCAGCGGATGCAGGTCACCATCCACACTCACCCCCGCCTCGCCCGGGCGCCTCTCATCCCCAACCCCTGCACAAACACACGGTCACATGTCGTTCAAACCTCGCAGCACGTCCTCAACCGCAATCCCATCATGGACGGAGACGGCGTCCTCATGATGCTGGGGGTGAGGGGGGGTGGGGG